CCGCCTACGCTGACACACGTCATATTTAACCGTTAAAACGCTGGCAACGCAGATGAGATATTACCCCTGGATGTAACAACAATATGTGACGCACGTGCCAACATGTGCATTTCCACGGAACAGTTGCTGTTCTAAGTAACGGTGTGGATCCCACCGGCCATCACACGGCGTTCGAGTCTTTGAATTTTTTTGCGACACTGTCAGCTATCACCCCTACAACGTGGCGTCGGATAACTCACTTTTTCTATCATCGCGAATAAATTGCTTACTATTGCGCAGCACATTAAAAAACATGGTTTACGTACAGTCTACAATGGATATTCCCGCACTGCATATGCTGACTATCATGCAGCAACATCAAGACACTACAAGCATGGGTGACGCAAATTTAACCACGCGCATTCCTGATAATGTTTGCTGTCAATCATGCACCACATTACAAACATTGGCGACGAACATCCCAACATGCGTATTTCCATTACATCAATTGATGGACGTTACGGTTCGTTACTGTTACAACAGGCCTCCGACGATCACATCCTGCAAAAAGCCCATGGGAATATCTCAGTTTGATACCGTTACTTTAGGCCTCCGATGATCACATCGTGTAAAAAAGATTATCAATGGTACTGGGAGATTCCTCTGGCGCACGAGTATTCAAATCAAAGCAACACGCTAACCATCTCAAAGGAGGGAGTGTAAGGAGTTTAGCCTGACCAAATGCTAGCAAAATTGGAGGCTTTCCTGAGTCGTCGAGCGTGCACAAATGTCTTTGTTTCCTCGCTCTGATCGACTACACGCGAGGACTCTCCACACACTTTGACCTGAACCGCTGGAGAGGACACAGATGCACGCGAGCCTAGATGCGTGCCCACTGGTCGCATTTATCCCAAAGTGACCTAGCAGGCTACCAGAAAGCGCACTTGATTATGCTTTTTAAGTCATTGTCGCCTCTTAGACAGGGAGTTGCACAGGGACTGCGAGGATACCGCAAGTCTACGTCCCAAGCCGGGGCTTTACCGCCGAGGCGGGAATATCAGCACACTGGCGTTAGGCGCAGCAGCAACTGCCACCCGAGAAAGCTACTTCGGGTTCTGTACACAATAAACCCCCCTCCGGGTGGATCAGCCAAAGTTATAACCTTCAATTGCTTTTAAATATATCCACTAGCCAATACTGCATTATGTAGTTTAAACGAACCCTGATGAGTCATCTAGTGCCAGCAGACATTTATGCCTATTTAAGTGGGGCAGATAAGTTGATCTGAGGCCCCAAGTGATTAAAATGTTTGACGTCTTCCGAAAACACTTTGTATGTAACTGAGTACTTGCAAAAATTCGGGTTCAATGGGCTTGATTTTTTAAAGACGTTTTCTTTTAACACCTTTTCTGCAATAACCATTTGCTCTTAGTACCCTTTGACGACTAAGTACTTCTTTTTTGGAACAGATTTGCCTAAAGTTGTTCATTATGATTTTTAAGTTATCGTTCATGACGTTATGCAAGTAATGGTAATCAGACGTTCCTTACTTTGGCATTTTGCATAAATTCCCCGACGAAATAATGTGTACGAGTGCAGCCACTGGGGCTTCTCATAAAATATGGAATTATCTGCGCGACTCCGAGCCCGGTTTCGGCAAGAGAAATTACAAGACAAATCGATTAATTAAACTAGCCAGGCAAGACTGCCGCTAAAAATCCATTAGCTTATCTTTGCCCTTACAGATATCTTACCTGTTCAGCTTGTTCCTTGAGTATGTTTTGGGTAGTTTGTTCAGGCTTGTCAATGTCAAGAAGCAAGTACTCCTCACAAAATTTGTTAGTTACGTCAAAGGCCAGTCCGCCAATGATGGCTTGTAGTGTGGCCTTGGGTATCCAAGCCATAGTTACAAACATTCGCTCACGTAAGTTGAGTTGAGAAAAAGTCACTGCAATGTATGTGGCGACCAAACGAATGAATATAGCACAAAAGACGATTCTGATGCCCAGGCCTGAGATGGGTGATTTAAATGTAGCAATGTGTATGAGAGAGAGATAGTTGGAAAGTACAACTTTGTTAAACAAACCAAAATTGTCTGTTCTGAAAAAAAATGAGCAAGTTTATTTCTTATCTGAGTCTACATGCTGTTATTTCTCCTGACTATGGCCAAGATAATACTACTAAGCAAATTCGATTAATGAGTATGGCACAGGTGTGTTGTTTGCCTCGCCTTTTGTTACTACTCCAACTGCCTGTGTGGATCGATTGTTTCACACATGTGGGATGCTAATAGATTCTGCTTTCCTACTCGAGCATCTTTTTATGAATACCGTAAAAGTGAAAACTCCATGAGGACTAGGATACAGACATCTACATTGAAAGCACCTTACCCTATCAGATGGCGGGATGTGCTCCTTTTTATATGCCTTGGGGCACTATATGGAGCAATGCTAAAATAGAAGAAGGGTCCCAGACGAAGTCACCCTTGACGTGGGTCAGTGTGACATAGTGACCATATACAGGAAGATCTAAAGAGCAAAATATACGCTTACACCTTCACGTAGTATCCCTATCAACAGGGAGGAATATGGCCTTTCCTGGTTATCCTAGAGCATCCGCCTTAGCCCTCAAAATCAGCAGCATTTCAGTAATCAGGAACCATTCGCCTTACGGGGTGACCGTTGAATCTTCGTTTGCTTACTGCAGCAAGCTTCATTCCAAGACCTGTCGTGTAAAAGCTGGATATTTATTTGCAGGCTCAAAACTAGCAATCCTCTTACTACTTAGTCTGTGGCCATTATTCTCTACTTAAAAAAGGATGCTACTTGACCCACGTGCGTCTTTGACCCAACTTCTCTTTACCATGACCGGCAATCCCTCGGTCTATTATGTTTTTATGCCACGTATAATCACCGTTCAAAGCGACTTAACAGTCAACGACTCCCGGATCCGGCGACGTCACTGCCAAACTGCAACTCCGGACCCGGACCGCTAACGACTGGATTGCACTCACTCTTGAGTCAATTACCTATCACTAGTACATCAACCCTTCTGCACTTACTTAAACTATTCCTAATACTCAGGCCTCACATGTCTTATTTACTGGTTTATAACCGTTGACATACAGTAGGTTGCCAAACTCATGCAATCCTACGATTTTTACAAGTAAC